CATAAAGATCCCTTGTCCCCAAACCAAACCAAACCAAACCAAACCAAACCAAACCAAAAGAAGCAAAACAAAAGGAGAAATTGGCTTGTGGACTTCAAATACAGGAGTGTAGTATTGGTCCTTTCACGTGTCAAAACTTATATCCATCACTAACACCACTTACTCTGCCCTGAAGTTAATTAGTAAAGAATTGCACTGAGGACTAGGGTGTAGTTCAGTGGGTAGTGTGCATGAACAAAGCCCTGAGTTCCAACCCCAGCACCACAGGTGTGGTGATGCATGACTACAGTTATCATCCCAGCACTAGAAAGGAGAGGCAGGATCATGCTGATGATACATTGATGGTGATAACTACACAGATAGTGATGATGATGGTGATGACCACACAGATAGTGATGATGATGGTGATGACCACACAGATAGTGATGATGGCCATGATGGTAATGTTGATGACCACACAGATAGTGATGATGATGATGGTGGTGGTGACTGCACAGATAGTGACGATGATGGTGGTGATGACATAGTGATGATGGCAATGTTGATAAGAACACAGATAGTGATGATGATGGTGATGGTAATGACCACACAGTGATGACCACACAGACTGTGATGATGATGGTGATGACCACAGAGATAGTGACGATGATGGTGATGACCACACAGATAGTGATGATGATGATGGTGGTGGTGACTGCACAGATAGTGACGATGATGGTGGTGTTGTGTGTGTGTCTGTGTGTATGTACATATATGCATGTGTATGTGGAGGTCAGAAGTTAATGTCACGTGACTTCATCAATCTCTCTTCACTTTTATTATTATTTTTTGAGATAGGTTCTCTCGCTGAAACAGGAGCTCACTGATATGGCTAGGCTGGGTGGCCAGCAGGCTGCAGGAATCCTCCTGTTCCCACCTCCCAGCACGGAAATTTCAAGCGTGCACTGCTACATCTTGCTTTTTATGTGGTGCTTGGGATCTGAACTCACGTTCTCACGCTTCCACAGCAAGTGCCTTTTGAACTGTGCTGTGTTCTTGGGCCTTAGTGTATGTTTTTGAAAATCTGCCAGAATCATTTCTGTAATACTAAAGAAAATAATAAAGATAAAACCAAACAAAATACCTTAATTATGTACACATACATACATACACATAAAATTATGTATAATTTTATAAATAACATGTAAAATTTCCACTTTCACTTTTGTGTACAAAAGTGGGTTTCATTACAACATTTATTGTGTTTATTTTTTAAAACAGTTTTTTTGAAATAGGATCTCACTATGTAGTTCTGGCTGGTCTGGAACTCACAGAGATCTGCCTGCTGCTGTCTCCAAAGTGCTGAGATTAAATGTGTGTGTGTGAGTGTGTGCACATGCCACAGTGCACACGTGAAGGTCTGAAAACAACATGCAGGAATTAGTGCTCTCTTTCACCATGCGGTTCCTGGGGATTCACGTCAGGTCAGGCTTGGTGACAGGTGCCTTGACCTGCTCAGTTACCCTCACATTACATTATATATTTTATACAAGATATATCTATCTATATCTATGTATATTTTTAGTTTGCTCAGATTTGACCCAATTAATTATATTTTTAATTTCATGAATTGGATTATTTAGTTTCAATCTGTTTTTTTCTTCTTTTTAAAATTTATTTTCTGTGTATGAGCGTTATGCCCATATGTGTGTAAGTGCACCTGTGTTGTGCAGTGCCCACAGAGGACAGAAGAGGGCGTCAGATCCCCTGGAACTGGAGTTACAGACACTTGTTAGCCACCCCATGGGTGCTGGAATTCAAACCCGGGTCCTCTGCAAGAACAACCAGTGCTCTTAACCGTTGAGCTTCTCTCCAGCACCTGTTTTTAGTTCTTAAACTACATATGTTTTGGAGTCAGATGTGCTACCACTGTGCCACGAGGCCAGCCACACATATATTTTTATATAAACACTCTATAAGTGTTTTTCTGATTTCACTGAAATCGTTTTCTGTCTGTATTTTCTTGTCTCTGAGTTTCATCAAGATCATTATTTTGAATTTCTTTTCATGCATCCTATAATTTCCCTTTTCAGTTAGGGCTGTTACTTCGAGCACTGTTGTGGTCCTTTCAGGATGTTACGCTTTGCTTTTTCCTGTTGGCTGTGTCCCTTAGTTGATATTTGTGCAGCTGATGGAACAGACACCGCTTTACACTTTGTGGAGTACCCTTCACATGAAAAGAGCCCCACAGAGTCCACTGGGCAGGGTGCGTAGGCATGTCTCCTCCTCCTCTTCCTCTTCTTAGTCGTCCTCCATTTCCTCCTGCCCTCCCCTCTCTTCCATCTCATCTCCTTCCTCTCCTTTCTTATTCTGTCTCCTCCTCTTTCTTCTCTGCTGTCTCCTTCCTAATCCTCTTCCTTCTTCTCCCTCTCCTTCTCTTCCTCCTCCTCCAATTCTTCCCACCCACCTGCCCTCACCGCCTCCTCCCCCTCTTCCTCTTTCTCCATCTACTCTCCGTCCAACTTCTCCCCTTCTTCCTCTTCTTCCATCTTCATCTTGTTCTGGGAATTACACCCAGGGCCTTACCCATTAGGGTCTTCCGCTGGAATCAGTGGTAGCAGTGCCCATGAATGCCTCACTGCTCTGGGCTGTGGCTGTCTTTGAAGGCACGGGTGCTGTTTTGCTTAGGATGGGGCCTCTGGGAGGACTAGTTCCCAGGTCCTAGGGGCTGTTTTCTCACACAGGAAAGACTTTCTGAACTTGAATGGAGGGGTCTTTTGAAATAACTCAGTGAGATAGAAACAGCGAAGAAACATGGGATGAATGGGACAACATTAAGTGAACAAATATTTGCATTTGGGGTTCCAGAAGATGATATAGGAAAGGGCACGAAGATTAGCTTAATGAAAGAGTGTCCAAAGCCCTCCCAACTCTTAAGAGATCCAGGAAACTCAAAGGTGCCCAAATAGATTCACCCCAAAGAGGGTCTGTCTACAGCACATAATGGTAAGAGGATAAAAAGTCAATGACAGAAAATTCTAAACTTAACAAGAGAACAGCATCAAGCCACATGTAAGGGAACCTGCATTAGGCTTTCATCAGATTTTCAGCATAAATTTTGCAAACCAGGAGAGCATGACGCAATATATACATAGTATTTAAAGGGAAAAAACTCCTAGCCCAGAACAGTAGACACAGGAAATTTATTCTTTGGAAATGAGGAATAAAAATTTTCTCTGATAACTAAAGCCAAGAGGATCTGTCACCACTAGACTGGCCTTGCATATTTTGTTGAGGGAGTGCTGTGACTGGAAGCTTAGACAGAAGCTACAGCCATGAAAACACCTGGGGATCTAACTTGCTGGCAGATGCAAAATCTTAAACAAATTCTGAACCTGTAGAGGTAAGTTTGCTGGTGGAATGTTATATTCTTTTATACATTTAAAAAGAGATGCAGGAGCTGGGTGTGGTGGTGCATGTCTTTAATCCCAGCACTGTGACTTGCATGCACAAAACTTGCAGCCAGCCAAATTTCAACATGCATGCAGGGGTGCAGGATATTAACAATTGATAGTTGCTGGGGAGGGAGAGTTGGTTTTATTTGGTGGGGCCACGGGTAGGCTGCCCATGCTCCAGTAGATGGTCCTACACTTACGTACACACTGGCACCCTTAAGTGGACTCAGTAGGTTTATAAGAACAGCACATGAAAGTGGGAGGGGAATGTGAAGGGAGGATAGGTGAGGCACTGGAGGGGTGGATTTAATAAGGATGCATTATATGCATGTATGAAATGCTCAAACAATAAATAAAAAATGCCAAAAGACCCCAACTAGAAGAGAGGATTTCAAATGTTCTCACTAAAGGAAATAATAAGTCTTTGAGGTCAAACGTAAGAGTTAAAGACAAGTAGCAAAAAGCCCCATTAAAAAATAAAGAGTATGTGAAGCTGTTCAGGAAAAACTGATGGGGAGATGTGGGAGGAGTTGGAGGGGAGGGATTGGGCATGGATTTTATCAAAACACCTTATATGCATGTTTGAAATTCTCAATATTTTTTTTTAAAGTTAAAAAAAAAAAGAGTTAAAAACAAAACAAGACTTGCCCACACAAGAGGCACATGAAATTGGCTGACAGGACTAGTTGGGAAGGAGAACGTGCTCAGGGGGTGTGAGAGGGAAATAAGAGATAGTCATGGGGGGGCGTTAGGGTCCCAATACAGTGAATATAAGTCAGAGCTAATAAATAAATAGACCAGGTGTGGTGGCCCTCGCCTTTAATCCCAGCACCTGAGAGGCAGAGGCAGGTGGATCTCTGTGAGTTTGAGGCCAGCCTGGTCTACATAAGGAGTTCCAGGCCAGCCAGGGCTATATAAAAAGACACTGGTTCAAAGAAAATTAAAATCATGAAAGAATCCCAACAAAATAAAGTTATAGGAGCTGTAGAGCTGGCTCAGTGGGTAAGAGCCCTCACTGGCTGCTCTTGCAGAAGACCCGAGTCTGGTTCCCAGCAACCACATGGTAGCTAAGAACCATCTGTAACTCCAGTTCCGGGGAATCTTCTGCCATCTTCTGGACTCCATAGGTACTGCACTCACATAATTAAAAACAGAACAAAACAAAACAGCCAGGTATGGTGGCGCATACCTTTAATCCCAGCACTCCGGAGGCAGAAGCAGGTGGATCTCTGAGAGTTCAAGTCCAGCCTGGTCTACATATAGGGTTCCAGGCCAGGTGGGGCTACAGGGAGACCGTCTCAACAACAACAACACAACAACAACAACCACCCAATCCAATCCAAGCCAAACCAACACAAAACAAAGTCATAAACTCCAAGAAAACAAAACCCCAAATGCACAAAAGTCAGAAATGGTCACTGTGAAGATTATGGAAATAATGTGTGTCTCCCCAGTTGGGTTTGCCATCCAACGTTGTCAAACTTGCTTATGTGAGGTCAAGCCAGTACTAGTTTTTCAGGTTGAACAGCAAAAGCTTTTTCCATGGTATTTTCCTTCTTTTCACAGGGTGCACTGGTATGCACAGATGGGGAATGACCATGCTACCCACACTGGGACAAAAGGGTAAGTTAGCAGAGAGACGTCACATGACTGTTTTGATTAAATGGTGTTTCCTGGAGATGAGTGCTCTTATGTCCCAGGAGACCCTGGGAGTAAGATACAGGCAGAAATACTCATATTTAGGCCCACTGATTCCTGCTCCAGGCAATTTCTTTTGATCCCTCAAATTTCTGTGTGACCCCAAGATAGAGGCACAACTTCTCCGATCTTCAGTTTCTTTAACTGTAAAATGCAGCGAATGATGTTCATACTTCACAGAGATGCTGTGAAACCTGTCCTCCCTTATTAGTATGTCCCTATGGCCACATCCTGAAGTCTTTAAAAATTCTCTCTTCCAGTCCTGTAATCATTGTTCTTGAGATAATAATAGGGACATTAGAATATCTTTTTTTTTCATAGTTATTGACTTTCAAGATTGTGTCTTTCTGGCAATTTTGTAATCCAACTTGGTCATTAATCTGACCCTTCTTATTTCTCCTGTTATCCGGCTTTTGCTACAATAAGTATCTGAGATAATCAATTCACAAAGAGAAAAGCTTACATCATATTATATTTTCAGAGGTCTTAGACCATGGTTGGACCTGGAGCTTTTGGCTTGTGGTAGAATTTGTCAGCAGAAGCACATGTGGAAGAAAATTTCTCAGTTTATGCCTGGGAAGAAAAAAAGACAGAGAGGCGGGTCTGACGTCTCCTCCAGTGGCGTGCCCCCGATAATCTAAAAAATCCCACTCTTCATCATGTCTTTGAAAATCTACTCTTTGATAACTGCATACATGTATGTAATGTATCTTGATCACACTTGATCACCCACTTCCACCTTCCGCTCCAACTTCTCAGCTGTTCCCGCCATCCTCCGCCTCTCACATTCTTTCTGTTTCCCTTCTGTGGTGGTTCACCATTTATTTTTGTGTGATGCAAATATGTGTACATATGTATATGTATAATCTATATAAATACCATCTCACCTCTTAAAGGTTCTTCACCTTCCAATAATGCTAAGAGGAGACAAAGCCTTTATCACATAGATTTTGGGGGGACAGACACCTAAGTTCCAGACTTCAGCATTGTACATCTGCTGCTAAAACATCTCCATTTCTCCTGAAAAAAGATTAAAGCCTTTGCTAGAGCGGCTGAGGCACAGATGAACCATATCAGTGTATTTCAAAAAATCATCATTTAAAATGAAAAATTAACATTACTTATTATGGTGCATGTACATGTGTGTTTGGCATGTGTGGCATGTGGAAGAGAGGACAATTTTATGGAGTGGATTCCCTCCTTCCCCTCTTTACGTGGCCTCCAAGGAGTGAGTTCAGGGCCTCAGGCTTCTTCAGCAAATGCCTTTTCCATCTTGCTGGCCCTAAAAGTGTTTTTTACCAGCATGTAGTAATTGTGCACGATAGTGTTTCATTATGACATTTTCATACATGTGTATAATGTACTTTGATCATGTTCACCTACTGCCCTTTCCTGACCCTTCCCACTCCTGCTGACCCTCTTCTTCCCCACTAGCCCCTGCTGACTTTCATCCTTTTTTTTTAGTGACCTGATGAGTTTCATTGAGTTGCTCACATGAGCATGGAGTTGCTCACATGAGCATGGGTGAGAGGTTGTTTACCGGAGCTTGGGCACCTTACCAGTGGCTACACCACTGAGGAAACTTGCTTCTCTCTCTCTCCACCAGCAATCATTAACTGTCCATCAACCGTCAGTGATGGGTGGGGCCTCGTGAGCCCCTCCCCCTTAGCAACCATTAACTATCAATCTTCAAGGAGGGAGGGGCTTTGTGAGCCTCTCCCCTTAGCAATCATTAACTATCAATCCTCAGTGAGGGGTGGAGACTTGTGAGACCCCTTAACAACTGGTAGCTGTCTATAAATCCTCAGGGAATCACCCCTCCCCCTTAGCAACTTTAGCTGTCTATAAATCCTGATAGGGGTGGGGCTTTGTGAGCCCCTCCCCCTTAGCAACCTTAGTGTCTATAAATGCTCAGATAGGATCTGGGCTTTGTGAGCCCCTCCCTTTCCCTGGCCGTGTGCAGACCGACCCAGTCTTGTGTGGATCTCGTGCTGTGAGTTCAAGCATTCTGCAGCCATGTCCTGCCTGGAGTCACGTTCACCCCTTCCTCTGGCTCTGACCTTCCTTCGGTCCTCTCTGGTGTGATGTTCCCTGAATCCTGCGTTGATGGGTGACATAGATTCCCACTCAGCGCTGAGCATTCAACGGTCACTTATTCTCAGTGCTTTGACCAGTTGCAAATCTCTGCAGTCACTGCTCCAAACCCCTCAACCTTGATGAGATGTTTGTCATTGTGGGATGGACAGGCTGCATCAGTCTTCACAGCATTGGGGTCCAGCCTGGAGATGGTACCATACAGTGAAGGCAGGCTCATGAGGAGGACTACCTGTCTCACTGGGGATGGGGTGGCTCCAACCATATGGGGCCCCATGTGGGGTGAACATGGTAAGGTGGTCCTGAAGGGGGCTCCTCCAATACCTAATAAAGACCCATTGCCATGGCAACCACAGGTATCCTAGGATCTGTTCCCACAGAATAGGTGTGTCTGTGTCAGTGTGTGTGCATACATGTGTGAGTGTGTGTGCATGTGTATGTCAGTGTCTGTGTGTCTCTGTGTGTCAGTGTATGCCTGTGTATATGTATGTGTCTGTGTATATACATCTCTGTGTGTGTGTGTGTGTGTGTGTTTGCCTGTATGTCTGTGTGTCAGTGTACGCCTGTGTGGGTATATGTATCTGTATGTGTGTCTGTGTGTACATCTCTGTGTGTATCTGTGTGTGTCTGTCTGTCACTGTGCATGTCTGTTTATGTGTTTGTGTGTGAGTGTGTTAGAGTCTGTGTATGTTAGTGTTTATGTGTGTCAGTTTCAGTGTGTGTCCATGTGTGTCTGTTTTTATGTGAGTGTCTGTATACATATGTGTATGTGTGTGCATCTGTGAGTGTGTCTGTGTGTGTCAGTGTTTGTGTCTATGTATGTGTCTGTGAGTATGTGTCTGTCCTCCTCTCTCCTCCTCTTCCCTACAGGTTATGGTTAGTTTTAACTGTCAACTTGACACACTGTAGAATCATCTGTGAAGAGGGCCTCAGTGAAGGATTACCTAGATAGATCAAGTTGGCCCATGGACATGCATGTGAGGGCTTTTTTCTGAATTGGATTAATTGAGGTGGGATGACCCAGTTCACTGTGGGCAGCACCATTTCTTGGGTTTGGGTCCTGGACTGTGTAAGAGCAGAGAAGTCAGCTGAGCACCAGCACACGTGCACTCATCTCTGCCTTGACTGTGGGTGTGCTCTGACCAGCTCTCTGAAGCATTTCCCCTCAGTGAGGGACTGTAATCTGGAACTGTGGACTAGAACAAACCCTTTCTCCCCTATGCTACTTTTTTTGAGGATATTTTATCACAGCAACAGAAACAAAACCAGGGCATCACATGCATGAAGCGACCAGGCTTAGGACGTGCCTGGGAAGGTCTCCCAACAAGCAACTCCAGTCCATTACTTTCAAATGTGATGCCAGACTCAGCAGGAAAGCCTTCCATTGTATCTCAGCAACCAAGGGAGGGGGTGTGCTGCCATCCCATTCTACACGGCAGAAGAGCCACCTACAGGGAGGAATGGGCATGCTCAAGGGCGTACACATCCAGCCAGTCTCAGCTCAGATTTGAAAATGGATCCACCTGACATTGCTGGTCTTTCTACTACAGGGCTTTCTAAATGCCAGGCACATAGTAGGTGCTTCGTTTAGGGCTTCCTGACTCAAAGCAGAAGGGAGATTCAGGGTATACTGTTGCAATCCTGTTGTATTAGTCAGTTTTCTGCTGCTGTGATAGAACGTCCTGACCAAAATCAAGTTATGGTAGAAAAGGGAGTGAGAACAGGAAGTGGGGCCAGGCTGTAAAACCTCAAACCCCGCCCCTTGTGATGTGATTTCTGCAGCAAAACTCCATCACCTGAAGGTCCCATAACCTCCCTAAATACAGCCAGCAGCTGGGGACTTGGTGTTCAAACAGAGCCAGCAGCTGGGGACCTGTGTTCAAACACGTGAGTGTATGGTGGACATTTCATATTCAAACACAACACCTATACCAAAACTTTGGGTGTTTAAGTCTAGTATCTCTGTGACAAGCTCATCCAAGTTGTATGAGTCTGGATAGTTGAGTTACTGATTAATTCATCCCAAACCACTTGTCAGGCCACTCATGAATGCCAGGCAGGAGTGGTAAATAGACGGTTGTTGTTTTTAATATTCTGCTTTGTTCCTTGTTTTTGTTTTTCTAAGACTGATCATCCTGTCCTCACACATCGTGTGTGAGATAGCAGAAAAGAGAATAGAAGCAAAAACTGCTTCCATAGAATCCCAATTTCTTTAAGGGTCTGTCCTAGTTTCATTCTGTTGCTGTGATAAAACACTCTGACTGAAAGCATTTTGAGGAGAAAAGGGTTTCTTTGACTTAGACTTCCAGGTCACAGTCCATCACTGAGGGAGGTCAGGAGAAGTCAGGGCAGGAACTCAAGGCAGGACCTGGAGGCAGAGGCCACAGATGACGCTGCTTGCTGGCTGGCTCTCTGTCTCATTCAAGGCTCATGGTCAGCCGGCTTTCTTACACAGACCAGGACTGCCTGCCTGAGGGATGGTGCCATCCACAGTGGGCTGGGCTCTCATTTAATTAATTAATTAATTAATTAATCAATTAATTAATTAAATTCTTATATGCATGAGTATTTTGTCTGCACGTATGTAAGTGTACCATATACCGTTCCTGTGTGCAGTGCCCGCAGAGGCCAGAAAAAGGCATTGAATCCCCTGGAACTGGAGTTACAGACAGTTGTTAGTGGCCATGTGGGTGCTGAGAACTGAACCTGGGTCCTCTGCAAGAGCAGTCAGTGCTCTTTAACTGAGGAGCTGTCTCTACAGTCCTACATTTTGTTTCATGTCTGTGTGTCTGTGTATCTGATGATACATGTAAAGGTCAGAGGACAGCTCA